AGAAAGGCAGACAAAGATATAAAGAATACTATTCCATATTTTCAGGCAACTAGTCTTTCATGCAATATTTCATGCCTTGCTCACATTTCAGTTGGTAAAAAACGTATATATATTTACCCTCAACACTAGTGAAGAACATGTTTTTTTTCTTAATAACTTGCTCTAATGCAATTGCCCCAACATCTTAACATTATTCTGTATTCATCTGACTGTACTACTTGATAAGAATACACAACCAGAAGTACACATTACAAAGTACTGCAAATTGACATATTTCATAGACTATAAGTAAATTGAAATTCCCTAAGATCACCTGCTTGTTTTCCCAAGAAGTCATTTCAGTGGCAATCCCCAAAGTCTAGGAAATTACTCAGTCCCAAAGAATTCAGCCACGACTTCTGTGTCTCTTGAATAGTCCCTGAATTTGGGATCTTGAGGATCAGGGAGTGTCACACACATAACCAGAATTTCTGCAGGTGTCTTTAACTTGCTGATTTGTAGCTCTTCATGTAAGCTGGACATACTGCAAATATCTACTTCAGTTGTGACTTGCTTTCATTTTCTCTTTGGTGTGTTTACATGAAAAGAGAAATTCTTAACTTCTGTAAATTAGAACTTAAACCAATTCTGTTTGTATGTTTTAGATTTGTTTAAGAAAGCCCAACTCTGCACTCATAATAGTCTATAATTTTCCCTACAAATCCAACACTCTCATTTCTCAGATGTCCAGGTTACATTGGTCTATTCCTATTATCGATGTATTCTGCTCCATTGGTCAATGTCTCCATCTCTTACAGTACAACAAAATCTTGAGTATTATAGCTTTATAACAACTCTTATTATCTAGTAAGGCAATCCCTCCCCCCACTTTATTTTTGTTTAAGGATAATTTTGACCATTCTTGGTATTGATGTCTGCTATGTAAATTTTAGAATCATCTCATCAAGTTCCTCAAAAATATTCTACAGAGATTTTGAGTGGAAGTTCTTGAATCCCCTATGGATTGTTTAGAGCAAACCATCATCTTTAACACCCTGAGTCGAATGAATATGAAATGTCTCACAATTTAATTAGATTTTCTATAATATCTTTCAAGACATATTTTTAATTTTTTCTATAGAGGTTATGCAACTTTGATTCCAATATACCCATTTTAAAAAAATCAGTATTTCTAATTTCTTTTGGTTAATTGGCTTAGAATAATTTGTCCATCCTTTTACACAAAACTTTCTGTGCCCTTCAGTGTTACGCTTGTCTAATACAAACAGCATTTGTCAAGATTTTCTTTTTTTTAATCTGACAATTTGTTTTCTAACCAGCTAGTTTAATATGTCTAAATTAATGTGGTTAATACTATATTTAGATTTGTCTACTCTTTTATCCTTGCAATGTGTCCCTTTGCTTCAAGAATTTTTTTTCTTGCTTTCTTGCCTTTCTTTTTTAACTTTAAGAAAAACTTTATCTTATTTTATTGATTCATAATAGATTTAATTTGGGATTACATGTGATAATTTAATACATTCATATAATTTGTAAAGATAAAATTAGTGTACTTGAGATATTCATCAACTTAAATATTTCTCATCTTTATGGCTAGAAACATTAGAATTATTCTTTTCCAGCTATTTTGAAATTTAAATAGATTATTATAAATCATGGTCACCCTACTGGTCTATCAAACACTAGGTCTTGCCTCTCTTTTTCATTCAACTGTTGTTTTATTTGTTATTTCATTCCTACATATGCACAGGCTGAAAAGTTTTATATGCTATTTCAATTTTAGTTACTGATCTTAACTTGTTACCATGTATGCTTTTAAAAAGTCTCTTAACCTCCCCTCAAAAACAGTATGAGAAATGTAACGCCTTGAACTCATCCCTCCTGGTGTGCATGTCATTATTTTTATCATATTTTTGTCATTTTCAACACTACTAATTAGACAACACTATAATTACTTCATATGATATGGCTTAATTTTATTTAGCTACATGTTTATCTGTTTCTATGCCTTCTTGATCTTACATGTGAGAATTTCCTCCTGAAGTTATTTTTTTCTTCTTAAGTATAACTTTTAGAAGGTGCTTTACATAAAAACTTCTAGTTTTTGAGTGCCTAAAATGAAATCTTAATTTTACATTTATTCTAACATGTATTTTTCCTGAGTGCCCAGTTTGGTGCTGACAGTTACATTTTGTCTTCTAATTTCTCTTGTTGCTATTAAGATGTTAATTGTCATGTAGCTTTTGTAATTTGCTGGATTATCTATATTTTCTCTCTGGCTGCTTTTAACCTCTTCTCTTTGTCTTTGATAGTCTATAGTTTCTCTACAATGGATCTGGGTCTAGATTTCTTTTTACTTATATCTGTGAATTCATGTCTTTAATCATTTCTGGAAAAAATACTCCTCAAATATTTCCTCTCCTCCTTTCTCTCTTTATATAACTCTGATTAGATGTATGGTGAAACTTAGGGCTCTGTCCTCCATTCCCATTGGCCTCTCTTCATGTTATACATTTTCTTGTCCCTTTGTATTACATTGTCTGATTTCTTCTGATCTAGCTTCCAAAACTAATCTTTTTTTCAGTGTGCTAATCTGTTGTTTACAGAAGTCCTTGAGGATGTTTTTTTACTCTGACAATACATTTTCATTTCAAAACATAGTACATGATTCCTTTTAATATCTGTACTGTGTTCTTATTGCTTGTTTAAATTTGTGATTACTTCTTTCATTTATTAACATCTAATAAGAGTCATTTTAATACTCCATACTGAAATATTTAATATCAGAAGTACCTGCTTTTTCTCCACATTTTTACCCTTGGTGGCTTATTTTGGTGTATATTTGATGACCTTTGGTTGTGAGTTTATATGCGCTTGGTTGACATTATTCTGTGGTTTCGCCTTTGTATCTGCTGGGAACCAGAGGGACTTCCTATCTTGAACTACTTCCCTATTCAGGGTTTCTGGTTTTACACACACAACTATGGGTCAGATTTACTTCTTTACCATTAGCCTGAGGCTTAATTCACATGATAAGATACTAATGTTGGTTTTGCCCTTGGGAAAATCCAATTTTTATTTGCTTGCCCTTCGCTGCTCTACTTTCAGTACACAGATTTTTGCCTTTCTTTATTATCGATGTTTAGAGGTTTCTCTGATGTCCTGGAAGACCAGCACTAAATCCAAAAGTATATTTAATGCAGAATCCAGCTGACTTCTAGCAGAAAGGCCCGTGAGGGTACTTGTTTCACCACACTTGTTTTAAAGCCTGGAAACCCTCTACCTCTTCAGCCCATGGATAGCATTACCAGTGTGCTGCTTGGGCCACACCTATAAAGGCTTCAACTCCAAGCTCCAGGAGCACCTTATTTTACTGTTCTGACTCCCAAAGTTCCACAACATGTCTTCAGTTCTCTTTAATTTTCTGTTCTTATGACACATCCATGATTAAGGCTGCTATTGAAAGAGTCTAGTCTACACCATCCAGCACCCTCTGTAAAGAAAACAGATTCCCACTGAATGGCTTGGGCTTCCGGTGCCACAATTATTTAATTTCTACCTACAAAACTCTCTTTTTAGCACTGTTTAGGCAGTCTAGTAGGAAATAATGCAGACTAAATTCAGTCACAGCCTGACTCTCTACCCAAAATCATTATCCCTTTTGAAAAGTAGGTCTTATTTCTGAGTCAGCCCTAGTAGACTCAATCCTTTCTGTACTTTCAGAGATTTTCTGCCAGTCACTCTCTGAAATCTGACTTCCATCATGACTTTTCTAATCCACTGGTTTGTATAAATCCCGATTATGATGATGTCCAAGGTCTTTTTCTTGAGTGTATTTACTCCTGATAAAATCAGTGAGTGTGGCTTTTTAATTGACAGTTAATGAAATTACTTACCAGTCCAATCACACAAAGGATCTTAAGGAGGGTAATAATTATTCCATAAATAGGTGAATCTAAGTTTGGTTATTATATTTACTCCCAAAAGTGGCATTGAATCTGAGCAATACATTGCCATATTATTTGAGTACTTTTAAGCTAAGTTGATTATTGGGAAATGTATCAACCTAACAGTAGTAATGAGATTTAATAGCATATTTCTTTTTCTCTTTTAAGACATTTTTAGATATCATAGTTAACTAAGGTTTAGACTAAAATATCAAATTCTTCAGAATCAGAGAAATTGTGTATAAATTGTCTAAAATGAACAATTAATCTTTGAAACTGTATTTAGCAATTTTTTTGATATTTGTTTTGTTTTGTTGTTTAAGACCCTGTATCACTGTGTTACTCAGGCTGGAAGGCAATGGCATGATCATGGTTCACTGCAGCCTTGAACTCCTAGTCTTAAGAGATCCTCCCACCTCAGATTCCCAAGTAGCTGGGACTACAGGCATGCACCACCATGCATGGCTAGTTTTAATATAAACGTTTTTGTAGAGACAAGGTCTCATCATATTTCCTACACTGAGCATCTTCCTTTTATAGTCACAAAAGTTTTAGGAGTATTTCTATTAGGCCTTTAGGTACAATTGTGTTCTTTGAACCCAATATGAGGAATTGGCATGAATTATATGAAGTGAACTAGCCAGTGAGACTAGTGTACACATTGCCTGCCCGGATATATTTGTGAAACACTCTAGGTATCTAGATTTAAAAGTGTCATGCCTCATGGATACTCATCTATCTGTTCATTCTTTGTGTAATTTCCTTTTGACATATTTCAGCTGAATGTTTTTCCTCCTTAAAGATATGTTAAAAAGCTTATAGAGCTCAGACTATTTTGACATGGTACACTTTACTTGTCCTTAGCTAGATTATATAATTAGAGTAGGAAATGTATATGCAAAAGAGCAAAACAGGTAAACAGTGAAAACAATTTTCCCACTCATCTTACTGCTTAAAAGTTTTTATGTATAGTTTCTGGAATTTTCTATGTATATTATTGTGCCCTGTGTTTCCTTCTTCTACAACTTTCATTTTTTTCTCTTAACAATATAGCTTAGAGAAAATTCTATGTCAGCATGTCAGAACTTACGGAGGTACCTCATTTTTAAAATGGCTGTAAGGTGAGCCATTATATGAATGCACTATAATTATTTTAATCAGTTTCCTATTAATGAGTCTTTTAAAATGTTTCCAGACCGTTACTAATAATAACAATGGACACATATCTTTGCTCCTGTGTTAGACACATCCATAGGAGAGAGTCCTTGAGATGGAATTGTCGGGTCAAATAGTAAATACATTGAAAAATGTGAAAGATATTTTTAAATTGTGCTTCAAAGTGGCTATCCCAATGTGCATTCTTGTTAAAATTGCCTGAAAATTTTCATTTCTCCACATCTTCAGCAATGATTTTTTGTATGAATATAAAAGTTAAAATGATATTTCACAGTTATTTTAGTTTTAATATAAAATATGAATGCTACTGAGCATGTATTCATATGGTCTAAGCTATTTATATTTTCTTTTTTGTCAAACTATTCATGTCTTTTCCCTATTCTCTATGGGTTTATTTGCTCTTAATGATTTATAATAGTACTTTAAATGATAGTTTAATTCTAAACACAATCGTATGTACTGCCAATATTTTTTCTTTTCTTTTTTTTTGACATTAGGATAGTTGGCCCTAAAAAATGTTAAGGTATTGAGATTTGTCAGCTTTCCCCTTGGGTCAGTGTTTAATTTTCTTTATCAAAAAGCACAATAATATTTTTGGAGAAATAAATGACTAGATTATTCCATACAATTATAGACATAGAACAAACTTTGAGTTGCCTTTCACTTAAGAAGAAATACATTTTAGAAGAAAACACAAATAACTTGGAAACATGCTTGAAGAGATGCTAAATTTCACCCATAATTAAATAATAAAATTTAAAATTTTTCATTAAAAAATTAGATCATCATGATTTTCATCAATAGCACATAAGAAAACCTTAGTTATTATTTTTGAGAGTATTAATATAAGATTTTGCAATAAGAATTTTGTTTCTACTGGTTTTCTTCTAGATTGAAAAGTAGCAGTTGCCCTGGAACATGGCAGAGGTTAAGTATCACAGATGGCCCCTCATCTAAGAAGCCCTACAGGTTCCAGTTTGCTTGGCTGTGGGGACCTAGTGAATTCAATAGGGCCTGGAATATACTAAGTCACGAGGCAGCGTCTCTTACAGCGCATTTTAAAGTTTAACTTGCCCTCTGTATCTTAACAACCTGTCTTACAGCTTCCTGCACACTTCTGACAACTTGATTGAACACCCTTGGGGAAGTCCATGGCGTCGCCTATGACAGAGTCCGTGTAGGCAAATCCCAGCCTATGCTAGAATTTAGCTTTTAAAAAGCAACCTATGTAGAACACAAGATTGTAAACTATAAGGAGATTCTAACACCAAAAGAAAGTGTGACTTGAGCCAATGAAATGCCAAAATCCAGTTCTAGCTGACAACGTCAGTGGTGGGGGACAGAATTCCACTTGCCAGTTGAGGACAAAGCATGTGGATTCGTGACTGTAACAGCAGATACCCCACTACCAATGACCAAATCCCATGCACATTCCTGTTCTCCAGTCACTTTTTCTCCATAAATGTTTGTTGTGTAAAATTAAAATCTTCCCAAATATTAACAAGTAAACCTTTATTCGCTGATTTAATTCTCTAAACTCGTACTGCCTTCATATTCAGTGTCACTGACTTGCACCCAACAGTTCTCAGCTTATGTTGTAGGTGCTATCTCATCTTAAACTGATCCTGTTCTCGAGTTTCCAGAGTGAGTACAGCCCTATCACCTCTGGAGTTCAGCCCAGTGAAAGAGCTTTCAGACTTCTGACGTCCAGAACTGTAAGAGAATACATGTATTTTGTTTCATGCCACCAAGCTTGTGCTAATTTGTTATAGTGGCCATAAGACACTAATGCATACCTATCAGGAACTGTTACTCCAGTGAAAACATGTGACTGCAGACACAGTGGAGAGCCTGACACACAGCTGTTAACCTTGTTCTGGGCAACTGAAGCTTTGGTTTTAAGGGATTTCTGAAACCAGTACAATGACTGTCACTTTTCCCCGTGTTCATCCGGGGAATAAATACCTAGACACCTGGCAGCAAGAGGTCTTTCCTTCCCCAGAGACCCTCTCTTCTCCTATTACTTAAAGGGAAAATGTTACTGCTCATCACTGAAGTCACATATTCTTTTCCTTTCTGAACTTTAAGGCAAACAGAGTCTTGTCTCAGGGGACTTAGATGCCACCCCAAGTTAATATTCCAGCCATATCTCAGGCCCTCTCCTAGGACTCGTCCCTGAGAACTTCTGAACTTAGATTCTCCCCAGGTTCCAGCATCACTTACTTTCTCATTTCCCTCTTCTGCCTTTAGTTCAGATTCTTGTCAATTTAGACCTTTCCCTACACATGGTTTATAATGAGGTGGTACAGCCAAGGGACAAAAGTTCAGATGGTCTGGTTATAAATCTGGGTTTCTGCAATCTACTAACTGTGTGACATTGAACAAGGTATTTAACTTCTCTGGGTCTCAGCGTCCTTAAAAAATAAAAAAGTAGGATTATAAATGACACCTATCAATATAGTTATTATGAAGATTAAATGAATCAGAATTTGCTGGTGACTTACAATAGTGCTTGGCATAGATTAAGCACTATTTGTTAATAATAAATGCAAATCCCAAGCTTATCACTTACTCCACTTTCTGTCATAAGTTTTGATGTCCATCAAGATTAGGCTCACAAATATCTCAGCATTTTCAAGGCTTGCATTTTCTGTGCATATATGAGATATATATTTGGTGAAATCATCAAGGGAAATCAAAAGAAATACTTTTTAGTGATTGTCCCTGTGGCTAACTTGGGCATTTCACTAGTCAGTGCTTCTAGCCTAGGCTAGTCCAATGGCAAATTAGAAATTGACCTAGTATGTGTTTTGAACCCTTATCTTCAATGCACTCTCCCCACAAAGCCCTATCCTTTTACTCATAAATGTTCATTTTTCCCTCCACCTGTGAGACCTACTTCCAGGAAAGCCTCTGATCTTAGTCATTAACAAAAACATAAGAGCTTAAAGAAAAGGTGCTATTTACCTAAGAAGAACCATTTTTTAGCAGAGGTTCTGTTTGGTTTTGTTTTTCTTGTCCCTCCCACACCCTCTTCCCTGCCTTCAGTAAATTCAGGATCTAGATCATGACTCTAACACTTAGCAGCTATTTGATGCTAGGATCCTCAGTTTCCCTATCCAGAAGGCACTCCCGAAGATGACACTCCTGTCCTGGGACTTCTGGGAGAGTCATTCCCAGCTCTATCTCAGGAAAAGAATGAGCTGTTGTTCAGGAGGCCATCACTGCATCACATCGCCCTGGGGTCACAGCAGTGACTGCTTCGGGGAGGGTCTGGGAACACTCCTTACAGCCAGGGGCAGTTTCTAGATCTCTAAAATGAAAATATTTAGAGCCAGAAAGACATGCATCCACATCTCTGAAATTCTCACATTTCCCACAAGCTGCTTTCTAGTTCCTGAGAAGCAGATGCAGAAGAGATACTCTGCTTATTAATAACTGGGGTTTTATCCTCACTTCCTATATAAAATTATTTATCTGATGAGATGAATGGGCCCTTGGTGAGCCTTTGCCTAAGGCCTGAAGCAGCGTTTGGAGGAATATGAAGTGTGGACTGTCTGCATCATACTTACTCGGAGTGCTGGTTGAAGTCCAGATTCTTGGCTCTACCACAGATCTAGGAAGTTAGGATGATGAGGTGAGAATTAGACATTTTTTATAATGAGTGATTAGTTAGCACTTCTGGCCTAATCTAAAAGCAATGTGAGTGGCCCCTTTGGCCCTCTTTCTTCTGAGACTATGTCCTTACTTTGGCCTTAAAGCTTCCAAATGGAGTTGGGGAGGCACAAGGTTTCTGGAAAAGGGAGTGATCCAGTCACATAAACAATATTGAGTCTGAAAATATGAAATACTCTTCTCGTGGCAAAGAATGCAAGCATTTAAAAGAGAAAGACAAGTCAAATTGTAGGAAAAGCAATGAAATCTGTATGGAAAAATAATAAAGTAAAATGCAAACTGGAATACAGCAACAATTGATGGAAAAGACATAAGTTGGGGCCTTCTACCTGCAAAGAAGAAAATATAATCCTATCCCACTATTTTCCCCAGGACTGAGCAACACTTAAATTGACAGAGGTGAGTTGTGCAAGGGAAAAGGAAAGGCAGGGGAGTCATGAGAATACAGTTTTGAGCATAAAGTCCTAAGATTAGAGTAAACATTGATAAAACAAGAACTTAATAATAATAGAAAATACTCGAGATTGTGTATTGGACGCTAAAGTCTACAAGTGCATTACTCCACTTAAGCATCATGAGCAGCCCATATGGTGGATATGGTGGATCTCAGCCTTTCCCCTGATTTACAGATAAGGAAACAGAGACATAGGAAGGCTCTGTAAATTATGCGGGGTTGCAGAGCTGGTAAGCTAAAGAGCAAGGATTCCAAACCAAGTGGTCTATTTCCAGAGCCAATGCTTTTAGCCACTATGCTACAATTTTCCCTCATCCAAAAATCTTACAAAACTACATGAAGTTATAAAACAAAAGCAGCAAAATTAATAAAATGAATATGACACGAGGGAAAGAAGAGATGGGGAATATGAGCGGAAGTGGGAGTTTATCGTTCTGCCTCATGTTAGAGTGGTAGAACTATTTTCTAAAATGGATATGTCACAATACAGCAGAATAAGCATAAAGTTTAGAAATATAGGGGTAACAACACAGTGGCTAAAGACTGTCTTTGGAGAGGGGAACTGGAGTAGGAAGGGTTGAATTTCAGTATTATTCAAATTTATATTATACTTATTTTAATAAAAAAGAATCTTTCTATTTGTTTAGAAATAGTTACAGCTGTGTAAGTGCATCAAAACATAAAAATCAAATTCATCTTTATATCTCTCACATATTTTTTAAAGTTTGTCTTATCAGAATAATAATTGAAGGTCTTCTCTAAAATGTCAAAAAATATGAGTTTTTAAAATTTGTCGTCTCTGGCAATATTATTGCCAGGCATGGTAGAGACAGGGGGCAGGACTATTAAAAGCACACAGATTTTGTCCCGGCTTCTCTGAGGCAGTTCTGACCACAAAGGGGAAGTGATTCTCTGCACCCATTGTGCAGGAACTTTGACCTTCTGGAACTGTACTAAGCAACTGAGAATAAAGGAATCAGGCAGCAGGGTGCCTGGAGGAGTCCATTAGTCTCTTTGTGATGATTTTGTTGTTACAGGGCTAATCTCATACATATTGCACTAGGCACAATGCTGTGCATTTTCAGTCCTATTTATCATATTTTTACAGGTGCTTACTTCATAAAAGTAAGCATTTTTATGCTCCCTTTAAAATAGGGTTCTTCTATTTGCATTGCCTAGTAAAGGCAATCAGAGGACCACTGCCTAAGGAACTCACTCAGGGAGCACACATATATAAGTATCTGCTCTCTATCTTCATTATGCATCTGTCTATCTACCTATCAAGCTACCTAGCTACCTTCCTACCTACCTACCTATCTGTATTAGTCAGTTTGGACTGTGTATTAGAGTTCCCTAGAGGGACAGAACTAATAGGATAGATATATAGCTATAGCTATAGCTATAGATATATAGATATGAGTTTATTAAGGCGTATTAACTCACACAATCACAAGGTCCCACAATAGGCCATCTGTAAGCTGAGAAGCAATTAAGCCAGTCCGAGTCCCAAAGCTGAAGAACTTGGAGTCTGATGTTTGAGGGCAGGAAGCATCTAGCATGGGAGAAAGCTGTAGGCTGGGAGGCTAAGTCAGTCTAGTCTTTCCACATTTTTCTGCCTGCTTTACATTCTGGCAGCACTGGCAGCTGATTAAATGGTGCCCACCCAGATTAAGGGTGGGTCTGCCTTCCCCAGCCCACTGACTCAAATGTTAATCTCCTTTGGCAATACTCTCACAGACACACCCAGGATCTTTGCATCCTTCAATCCAATCAAGTTGACACTCAGTATTAACCATCACAGGCTCCTATGACAAAATGACAGAGACTGGTAGCTTCAACAATAGACATTTATTTTCTACAGTTCTGGAACTTGGGAAGTCCAAGATGAAAGCAGGTACTGTTTCTTGTGATGACCCTTTTCCTGGCTTAAAGATGGTCACCTTCTTGCTATGTCCTCACGTGGCAGTCAGAAGAAGCTCAGGTGTTTCTTGCTCTTCTTATATAGGCACGAATCCCTTCATGGGGGTTCCATCCTCATGACTGCATTTAAAACTAGACCCCTCCCAGAGGCCCAACCTCCTAATAACAGCACATTGAGGGTTAGGGTTCCAAAATATGAATTTTGGGGGGAATGCAAAATTTCAGTCTGTACCTCTTCATCTATCTATCCATCCATCCATCCATTTATCCACAGAACAATAACAACAATGGCTTCTAAGTTACTTCCTTATATTATTTCATTTTATCCTTTTAGAAATTTTCTCAGGTAAACAGTCCATAGCATAAGAACTGACTTCATTGAGACTCTTGAAGGTTGACTCTACTGTTTGTACAACTAATAAATGGTGGTGCAAGGAATTTACCTCACATCTTCTCTGTC